CATTAAGCAGCGGGCCAGATAAATGCCACCAGATACTTTGAAGATGGGCTGGCCTACCTCCAGAAGTGAAGCTGCATGACGCAGACAACTCCATGCCACATGCCATGACTGGCAGCCACGCTGCAAGGCAGAGGGGCAGAGCAAATGTAATGGCCACACACAGAGAACGAAATCCCCACAAGAAAAAGCATTAAGAGGGCACAACTTACCTTCAGAGGATCCGAAGAAACATGCCACTTTGGCTAAACTGTGAACTATACTGAACAAAGACACCAGGCTCCAGCAAGAGACGAGAATGCTGAGCAGCAAGCACCGGCCCAAAAAATAGTTCTGCCAGCCCCGCCCAACCATCGGGGGGCAGGCCATCAATGAGCCACACCTGGTGTGCAGGTACTGAGGAGGGGGAGAGAAGGGCAATGATCCCATTCTGTCGCAAATGTAATTCAAATGTAGATGATTCAGATTGCCACCTTGAAACTACACCTGTGTTAGAAGAAGAACTCAAATGGTGTCATTTGCTGTGGGCTGTATGCTCTCAAAAATGCAAACCCATCACCATCATGATTTTCCTTTCTAGTCTTTTCTTTTGTAAAATAGTAACAATCTACAACAACATTATATGCTTATTTTACATGAACTAAAAAAATGAATAAAACATGAATAATGTATACATACAGTACAGGCCAAAAGTTTGGACACACCTTCTCATTCAATGCGTTTTCTTTATTTTCATGACTATTTACATTGTAGATTCTCACTGAAGGCATCAAAACTATGAATGAACACATGTGGAGTTATGTACTTAACAAAAAAAGGTGAAATAACTGAAAACATGTTTTATATTCTAGTTTCTTCAAAATAGCCACCCTTTGCTCTGATTACTGCTTTGCACATTCTTGGCATTCTCTCCATGAGCTTCAAGAGGTAGTCACCTGAAATGGTTTCCACTTCACAGGTGTGCCTTATCAGGGTTAATTAGTGGAATTTCTTGCTTTATCAATGGGGTTGGGACCATCAGTGGTGTTGTGCAGAAGTCAGGTTAATACACAGCCGACAGCCCTATTGGACAACTGTTAAAATTCATATTATGGCAAGAACCAATCAGCTAACTAAAGAAAAACGAGTGGCCATCATTACTTTAAGAAATGAAGGTCAGTCAGTCTGGAAAATTGCAAAAACTTTAAATGTGTCCCCAAGTGGAGTCGCAAAAACCATCAAGCGCTACAACGAAACTGGCACACATGAGGACCGACCCAGGAAAGGAAGACCAAGAGTCACCTCTGCTTCTGAGGATGAGTTCATCCGAGTCACCAGCCTCAGAAATCGCAAGTTAACAGCAGCTCAGATCAGAGACCAGATGAATGCCACACAGAGTTCTAGCAGCAGACCCATCTCTAGAACAACTGTTAAGAGGAGACTGCGCCAATCAGGCCTTCATGGTCAAATAGCTGCTAGGAAACCACTGCTAAGGAGAGGCAACAAGCAGAAGAGATTTGTTTGGGCCAAGAAACACAAGGAATGGACATTAGACCAGTGGAAATCTGTGCTTTGGTCTGATGAGTCCAAATTTGAGATCTTTGGTTCCGACCGCCGTGTCTTTGTGAGACGCAGAAAAGGTGAACGGATGGATTCCACATGCCTGGTTCCCACTGTGAAGCATGGAGGAGGAGGTGTGATGGTGTGGGGGTGTTTTGCTGGTGACACTGTTGGGGATTTATTCAAAATTGAAGGCACACTGAACCAGCATGGCTACCACAGCATCCTGCAGCAACATGCCATCCCATCCGGTTTGCGTTTAGTTGGACGATCATTTATTTTTCAACAGGACAATGACCCCAAACACACCTCCAGGCTGTGTAAGGGCTATTTGACCAAGAAGGAGAGTGATGGAGTGCTGCGGCAGATGACCTGGCCTCCACAGTCACCGGACCTGAACCCAATCGAGATGGTTTGGGGTGAGCTGGACCGCAGAGTGAAGGCAAAGGGGCCAACAAGTGCTAAACACCTCTGGGAACTCCTTCAAGACTGTTGGAAAACCATTTCAGGTGACTACCTCTTGAAGCTCATGGAGAGAATGCCAAGAGTGTGCAAAGCAGTAATCAGAGCAAAGGGTGGCTATTTTGAAGAAACTAGAATATAAAACATGTTTTCAGTTATTTCACCTTTTTTTGTTAAGTACATAACTCCACATGTGTTCATTCATAGTTTTGATGCCTTCAGTGAGAATCTACAATGTAAATAGTCATGAAAATAAAGAAAACGCATTGAATGAGAAGGAGGCTAACATGGCGAGCTTAGTTAGTAAACAAGCTAACACTAGCCCAACAGTGCAGCCAGGTGAAGAGTTTGCAGATGCAGTTTTGAGAGAAATTTGACACTTAAGGAATGAGGTGAAAGAAGGCTTTGAGAGGACACAATCTACAATATCCTCTTTAGAGCAGACAGTTCGGTGTCTGGGAGACAGAATGACAGAGGCAGAGAACCATGTTGGTGAGCTGGAGGACAGGGGCGACCACACAGACCGGCCTTTCTGATATCTCATGCAGAGAGACTGTCAGATGGAAGAAAAGTGTGAGAACTTCATGATGTAGGAGGAACAGCCTGCTGAACTCCCCCGAAACATAAATTGTAAGTAAACGGACAGAGGTAAGATGGGTCACTCTGAGAGTCAAATGTTTATGGCTTTGCCCCCGGTCTTACCTCGAAGTTGATGAACTCTTTTACCGTCATCCTGGCGTCAAGAGTGGTAAAGGTGTCAATCGGAAACCATCCAGATCTCAGTTTGCTGATTACATCCTGGGAAAATCCAGCGTTTTGACAACTCAGCCAGATTAACAACCAGACCAGGGTCATTAACTATGCTTTTAAGTTCACTGATCTGCTGAGATCCAAGCAGCAGGGAGAGACTCCAACTCACCCACCACCAAAGAACCCCATCTTTGATAAAACAGACTTTTTTCTAAAGGACTGAATACTCTACCTCCAATAAAACCACATCCTCTCTTCCTTTTTGTCTCTCTACACTTCTGTCCCTCTATCTGTTATACAACACATCTATGTCACCCCAGCTCTATCTTACTTTCACCCTGGTGAAAATAAGATAAGAAGACCAGGTGGGAGCCATAAATTCAGGACAAATTCCTGAGTACAAACTAAGTTTCTCTTTTTAATCAACTTGAAATGTCTCTTGAAAGTGAACTATGCATTTTATCCATGTTCTAACATTATAACTTTGCATAATCCTTGTTTCTTGGTTGAATGATGTTAGTCCCCCTTTTGTAGGTCATAGTATGAGTTATTTATAATTTCATTAATCCCTCATTTAACACAGAGTCCACACTGTCCATAACAATTAACTATGTCAGATAACAAACTGCGTCAGACTTGGGTCGGGAAAATACGACCCGAGCCGTGCGGTCGGGAATATACGACCCGAGCCGTGCTCTAGTATGCTCACCTCAACAGCGCGCACGCGCGCGCGCACACACACACACACACACACACACACACACACAGAAACTCAACAGAGTTAAGTCAGATAACAGCAGAGCAGCAGAGGGGCCGCGGTGCAGATGAAGGGAATATAACTTCAAGATTACTCTAGTTGACGACAACTACGCTTGTTACTGTAAGTAAGTGTGATAAAACCCCTGCCAGCCAAGCCAATACTTTATCAATACATGTGATCAGAATATAGAAAGCGATATTTCAATCTGCTCAGTCCACAGTCTCTCATTCACCGCTATTTGATTTACAATCGCGGTCGACACAAACACATCGCGCTCGTGGTGCTAAAAGCAAAGTGTTAAAGACAAACTAAAATGAAAGCTGTCTGTATGTAGGCTAACACTTAATCTTAAAATGTACCTGAGGCAGCCGACCTGCAGACAGTGAGTGTCCTCAGTAGAGGAGGGACAGAGAGCAGGAATGACTGATACTGATGTTTGTCTTCATGCTGAGATAATTTGAATTTCTTCACTCAGTATTGTGATGTCAGGAGGAATATTTATATTCCAGTGAGATATTATTTGGTTTTAAATAGTGACTTTGTCGTTGTAAACATGACTGTTGCTGCCATGGACTGTATAAAACTATATCCTGTGTAACTAACCTATAAGGAAAGCATCAGGAGGTGAGGTGTGTGTGTGTGTGTGTGTGTGTGTGTGTGTGTGTGTGTGTATGTGGAGGAGAGGGGAGATGCTGGTATAGAGATAGTGTGTGTTATTAGATACTGTTAATGTCACTTATTATGCTTCTGTGCATAGATAGCTCTTTCTTAGTCTGCTTCTGCATTATGTTGAGGAGGGCCATGCCTGTATATATGTATAAATATATATATATCTGTATGCAAAAAAAAAAAAAAAAAAAAGTGGATTGGTTGCTCGCTGCTAAAAATGTGGCCCATCGACATTATCTGGTTTTGAAATGCGGCCCAGTTGAAATAGTAAGTAAATAGCCCTGCTGTAAATTGTTCGTTTATTAGCTATCTAACAACACATCAAAAATAATTGTAAGCCAGTCTTGTTCAGTGAATCGGTTTATCATGTACACTCGTAAAATATTTAGGCCTAATATTTAAGATTGTTTGCTTATAAATTAATAAACCTGGTTGTTCTATATGTAAAACACATTGGGTTTATTAGTACTATTAAATAAATCACATTATTACTTATTATACTCATTATTATTACTTGAGCTTGTTTTATTTATTCATTTCACAGATAGTCAGAGGTGGGAAGTCACGAAGTACAAATACTTTGTTACTGTACTTAAGTAGATTTTTCACGTATCTGTACTTTACTTGAGTATTTATTTTTCTGACGACTTTTTACTTTTACTCCCTACATTTGTATACAAATACCTGTACTTTCTACTCCTTACATTGTAAAAACAGCCTTGTTACTTTTAAAACCTCCACGGATGACGACACAACGTAAAAGACCTGTCTACGGAAAGTCAACAAAAGAAGAAGAAGAAGACGCAAAGTCAACAAACGAAGAAGAAGAAGGACAGTGAGTGAGCGGACAGTTAGAGAAAGAACCAATAATTGGCAGCAGCGACATGGAGGCAAGGAATATTCCTTGCATGGAGGAAGGAAGTGAACCAGGAGTACTGCCGACGCCGGCGACGACGCTTCATAAGATTCGGAGAAGCAGGACATTCCCCATCCATGGCCTTATTTAAGAGAACTAATCGATGTTGTCGGCTGCAAGAATGATTCATGGCGAATGTGTTGCGTCTTGTGCCAACCTAAAAACCACGAGCTTCTGGCGTTCAAGAATTCTCCGTCTAATCTGAAAAAAACACATACAGGTAAGGTATATTTTCTGTTGTTATCATTAGCTTTTTAAAGATTTTTTGAGGTCAGTCTACACTGATAGCAATGCTGTGGGAACACATGTTTTGATAGTTTATAGCTAACGCTAGCTAGCTCTCGGTTTAAAAAACAACAACCCAATAACCCTCAATTTATTACTGTTGTGCGGCTGTGCTAACAGTTGCTGTTGTGAGACGTTACTTGTCAGTACTATCTGCCAGAAAGCCCCTCTTGGGTAGGTTTAGGGGTTGAATGGTAGTTTGGGTTAAAATAAAAACATTTTCTGGCAGAAAAAAAGGCATTTATGCTGAAAGCCCTGAAGGCTAACGTCCCCTGTGTGCCAGTAGTAGTCATTTATGTCAACTCCCCATAGAGACAACGTGAAACATTGATATAACAACTGTAATTCTGTCAGGTGAACACTTGTCTCTTTTCTTTTTTATGTCTGTGTCTCATATGTGTGTACTGTCACTCTCACAGAAAGCACGTGAATCACCTGGAGAGATACAAAAACCTCACTGCACCTACTTTGAAGAGGAAGTCCACCTCAGATGAAGGCCCATCCAAGCAGCTTAAACTATGGGATACCAAGAGAGTGTCACAGAAAAGTGTGGATGAAGCCATCCTGAACTTTGTCATTCAAGGTCTGCACCCTCTCAGTATTGTCCAACAGCAGGGTTTTAAAACTCTTGTGCATCACCTGCAACCGGATGTGGTTGTAATGTCCCAAGGCACCATGAAAAACAAAGTTGAGAAAGCAACACTGGAAATGAAGAACAATCTGAAGGCTGCTATGCGTGAGATTGAGTTCATTGCTACCACTACTGATTGCTGGACAGCACACAGACAGAGTTTCCTCAGAGTCACAGCACACTGGATAGAGCCTGAAACAATGAACAGATGCTCTGCTGCATTAGCATGTAAACAGCTCAAAGGGTCACACACATTTTCTGCACTTGCTGGTGCCCTGAATGGTATTCACACAGAGTACAACATCTGTGACAAGATTGTGCGTACAACCACTGATAATGGCTCCAATTTTATCAAAGCTTTTCGAGTCTACGGAGAGCTGGATGAAAATCATAACCAGATTCCACTTGAGGAGACAAGGCCGAGTGAATCAGCAGAAAGAGAGAACAGTGAAGGAGAGGAAGAGGAGGAAAACATTGACCGTCTTGAGTTTGTTGAAGCAGGAACCTTGTTGGAAGAAGATGATGGCCTGGAATACCAACTGCCAAAGCATCGTCGCTGTGCCTGCCACCTTCTGAACCTGGTGTCAACAGTTGATGTTTCAGAGGCAAATTCCAACACCGTCTACAAGCGACTCTCTCGTTCAGCATTTTCAAAGTGCTGGAGTCTATGGAACAAAAGTGGAAGATCCACTACAGCTGCTGAGATAATTGAAGAAAAATGCAAACTCCAGCTCTTGAAGTCAAATGAGACGAGGTGGAATTCTCTATTCCTGGCCGTGGAGAGGATTGTGAGGATCATGAGAGAACAAGGAGAAGGAGCCATTACAGCTGTGTGCAGTGTGCTAAAAATTCCCATATTAGTAGCTTACATTTTCACACCTTAGTGACTGTTATTAATTAGTATTAACTCCATCACGTGTGTGTGTGTGTGTGTGTGTGTGTGTGTGTGTGTGCAAAATACATAAGTCATGTGTTACATTTTTTACTATTTGTAACCACTGATATGACACTGATTCACTCCTGTTAAAATTGCTTTTCTCGCAGAATATGCCAAGACAATGAGCCCATTTGCAAAGTAGGTTGATGTTCTTCAGGGAGAGGCCAGTGTGCAGATGGGATGGCTGGTACCCACAATAACACTTCTCAAGACTAAGCTACAGAACCAAGTTGTGTGTGCCTTTAGTGGATGCTCTTCAAGCAGGACTTGAAAGGCGATTCGGGCAGATGCTTGCTGATCCCGAGCTGATTGCTGCTACCATTCTTGTCCCCAAGTTCAGGACATGCTGAACAAGTGACGACTACATCCTAAAACTTGGTATGTATTAAAACTAGTGATGGCCAAATGAAGCCTCATGAAGCATTTTCTTCATTTTCTGAGCCCACTAGATGGTGCTTTTTGTTCATCAAAAGGTTGAAAGCACACTGAATTGCCATTCTTTGAGCCTCTCTCTTTAAGCCATGAGTGCCATCTAGTGGGCTCAGAAAATAAAGAAAATGCTTCATGAGGCTTCATTTGACCATCACTAATTAAAACATTTACTTAATGCTTTACATTTATTGAAGATGATGGGGGAAATTTTGGAATCTGAATTATCCATAACATACTGGGTAATTGTCATACAGTAACAAGTGAAAGTCACATTCATTTCACATTTAACAAATAACATTAACAATCCTAAACTAATCATTTTCTGTGTTTCAAAAATTATTTTACAAAAAATATTAGCATGAAAATATTGGGAACACTTCAAAATAAAGGGTATAAATCATACACTTAAGTAACGGTTAACTAATGCATGATTAATGATGATATAATGTGATGGTATTACAAAGGTGATGGTTATTGGGGAAAATTTTTAAAAATCCTCTGTGGTTTTGTATTCCATAGGCCTGGACTTCATCAAAAGCCGTCTGAAGGAGCAACCTATGGTGCATCCAAGGGACACTTCCCATTCTTCAGAGGAGGATGACTTCTTTTCCCCCATCAAGCAGGGAAATGTTCAAGAAAACTCCAAGCAGCTCGATTCCTACCTGGCGTGCCCAGATGATACCATGGATGTCCTGAAATCTTTCCCAGCTGACTGCAACTTGTCACTGAAGCTCAACACACCCCAGCCTGCCTCAGCAGCCTGCAAGAGGCTTTTCAGCATTGCAGGACTGATTTTCAGACCCAAAAGGGCACGCCTTGATTCAAAGAACTTTGAGAACCAGATTCTGCTGAGGCTGAATAAAAGATTTTGGTAGTCCTGTAGAGATGAGTGAATTTCTCACAAAAGAAAAAAAGACTTGATTAGACTTGAAGTTTCCATGTTGATCATAATGTTTCAAGTTCTGTTGCTGAAATGGAAATCTCAGTTTGCACATTGCCATAAAGTAAGGCATCAAACTGCTAGTTTTTCTATATAAAGTGTTTAAAAGATACACATTCTGTTAAAAGTAATTCATGGTTCGGTATGTACCTCTTACACTTGTGTTTATATACACCTGGCATCATTTCACAGTACTATAACAGTGTAACAAGTTCTATGGGTTCATATTCATGCCATGGTTACATCTTTTAATATTCAATCTGCAAAACAAAGGTGGAAGGGCATGAAAGGTGCTGAGTAAGTTGGTCAAGGTCTGACAGAGATTACTGTGTTGGTATTTTCTAGTGCCCATATGAGAAATGTGTAATCCTCTGCACTGGACATCTGTTGTAGAGATATCTGACAGAAGCAGTTGATTGGTTTTATTGTAAACAACACAGCAGAACAGGAGAACCCTAGTCATCTGTAACATGTTCAACTAAAGTTGACTGACTGTTGACTGTTGATATTAAAGTCAAAATCCAGTTTGGATGCATTCATTGTCTTGTGTGTGTAATGCTTAATCCCGTTACATATGTTTGTTTTGGGGTCACGGTTCAGTATGTTTTCAGTACAGAGAATTAAGAAAAAAGTAGAAAATAACATTGGTCTTTTGTTATTAAAAGTGTAAACATCCAATATGGGTCACTGGTCATAACTACTACTGATTACAGTTTGGTTGTGCTGCAGTGGAAAAAGAAAATGCAGGACCTCTGGTCAGTTTAATCTTGATTATTCTGTCTGAACTTTTCTCGTTTTACAAAATTATCAAAGGATGTATTGTGTTTCACTAACGGCAAAAACTGATTTTTAATTTTTAACTTCAGTACATTTCAGAGCCTGTACTTTATTACTTTTACTTGAGTAAAAGAGTTGAATCAGTACTTCTACTTTTACCAGAGTATTTTTTTTACACAAGTATCTGTACTTTTACTTAAGTACAGAATGTGAATACTTTTGCCACCTCTGCAGATAGTTATACTGTAAATCCTTAGTCCTTAAATTAAATTCATTATGGATGTGGACTTAAAATCATTGTTTTATTTTATGGCCTTGCTGCCCTGGCTCTTGGCCTTTGTGCCCTCAAAAAATTTGTATTATAAGAGGTCCCCCGGCAGACTAGGCCTATGTCAGCCTAACTAGGGGCTGGTACAAGGCAAGCCTGAGCAGCCCTAACTATAAGCTCTATCAAAAAGGAAAGTCTTAAGTCTAGTCTTAAATGTGGAGACAGTGTCTGCCTTCCGGACCACAACAGAAAGATGATTCCACAGGAGAGGAGCCTGATAGCTGAAGGCTCTGGCTCCTGATCTACTTTTGGTGACTTTAGGGACCACGAGTAATCCTGCATTCTCAGAGCGCAGTGTTCTGGTGGGATTATAGGGCACTATGAGCTCTCTAAGATATGATGGAGCCTGACCATTTAAAGCTTTGTAAGTTAGGAGTAGGATTTTAAATTCAATTCTGGATTTTACAGGGAGCCAGTGCAGAGAAGCTATAACAGGAGAAATATGATCTTGTTTCTTAGTTCCTGTTAGTACATGTGCCGCTGTGTTCTGAATTAGCTGAGTTTATTTTTATAGAGACCTACTAACTTGACAGCAAGAGCTCAAACCTGGTCCATTTACAAGCATAACAATGCAATTAAATACCTGGTGGGAATAACACCTGCAGGGGCAGTTTCATATCTGTCCCTAGGCTGGGGTGGGAGAGTGTCAGATAACCAAATAACACTTGAATCAAGGTTTTTGTAACTATTAGAGCCACAAGATTAAATTTTGGCCAACTGTGTTTTTTGCTTTTTATAAGGGAAGAGCTTGCTGCATATGGTGCCACCTTGCGTATACCAAGCTTCTTATCAAGCTTCTTTCAAGGAAAGAGTCAGTTACCTGCTAATGAAGTAGAATCATCAAGACAACAGTCTGGTGTCAGAATACATGTAGAGACAATTATAAGCAGATGGAAGCGATTCAAAATTTTGCATTCTGTTATTCCTATTTCCCAAGTTAGCCTACTGGATAACATGGTGATCACATGTGGTGCTCTCACCAATCTCTGTAAACTTGTAGTGCCTCGAAAAGAGCGAGTGTGTTGTGTATAATACTGTATATTAGTTAGCACTGTCGCCTCACAGCAAGAGGGTTCCTGGTTCGATCCCGAGTGCGGGAGCCCTTCTGTGCGGAGTTTTCATGTTCTGCCTGTGTCAGCGTGGGTTTTCTCCGGGTACTCCATCTTCCTCCCACAGTCCAAAGACATGCAGATTGGGAATAGGTTAATTGGTGACTCTAAATTGTCCGTAGGTGTGAATGTGAGTGTGAATGGTTGTCTGTCTTTACATGTCAGCCCTGCAGTAGTCTGGCAACCTGTCCAAAGTGTACCCTGCCTCTTGCCCGACATTGGCCCTCAAGAGGATAAGCGGTTAGAAAATGGATGGATGGATGTGTGTGTGCAAAACAATGGACTCAAAACATGCATGATTTTCTACTCTGCTCACTTTGAGAAAGATGGGATTTGACTTGTTCTAAATGATTGTGAATCACTTGTGATACTATTTACACTGGTCTGATTACACTGAAGAAAAAAAATCAAATAAAGAGAATTCTAAATGAAACTATAGTGTCTGGCATTTCTATTTCTAGTAAAGAGTCACCTTGGGGCACCCTGTAGGCCTTCCCTGTACCCGAACCTGTATGTTGTTTTCATGGTATCGCATGACGCTCATCAGGGTTGTTTTGTCTATACGGTTACTTTTACATGCACTATAAAATGTTGAGCACACCGGTCTTGTGAAGTTGCCTGCTGTTGTTATGGCTTCAAGTCTCTTACACTGGTCAGGATGGATATTCCTTTTTATGTGGCAAAAGGCCTCCTCACATTTCTCTCTGAGGTCACCTGGTGCCTGCTGTCAGAATGTTAGGTCATACAGGGCACTGAGTGGCTCTGGCAACTCTGGAAGATCCTCAAGCTCACACTCAGATGCAGTGTCAGTGTCACTGTCTTTATTGAACAAAAAACCAAGGAAGTCTTGCTGTTTGTAAAAAATGCAGACAACCAAGGAAAAAAACGGAGGCACTCCGTCTTCAGGTAAAAATATATGAAGTAACTTTTATTTGAGCAAAGGCAACAAGACAGACCTACGCGTATCGACCAAAGTCATCTTCAGGGTCTGAAAAAGACTTCCTTGGTTTTTTGTTCAATATCAATTCACCCACTTCACTGAAGAGCACCTGTCAAGTCAGAGCCTTGTTTATCCAAGCAGCGCTTCCTTCCTTCTTTCTTTGTCACTGTCTTTATTTTCAGTGCAGGTTGGAATGGCACCATCAGGGGCAATCAAGCAAAGTTCTTGGATGTCTGCATCTGTGAGTTCTAGAGGAAGGATATAATCCACCACCACTGCTGCTGATATGACATTTAGAGCATCACAGATGTTTTGCCATTGCTGGGTTTTTTGATTTCCCTGTAATACCAGTAATGGCACTCTGGAAAATCACATTCTTACTTTTAAGTTTCTTTAACAGAACATCGATTTAACTACTGCAGAAGTTCTTATTCCTTACAGCCTTTTTTGATGTCATCGCTCCAGCTCTTGGGCATCTGCTAGAGTCTTTACACACAGCACATTGTCTGCCCCTAAAGAGTGTTTTGGGGACATTACCTATGCTACCAGGGGACTTCATTCAAACAATGAATAAATAATATAAGAGAAAATTAAGTCAATTGCTACATGACTCCTTTGATCATGTAAAAAAAGCGAGGCTAGATAATAGAGCAGGATTATCACCTCTTAATGAAACTTAAACTGTGGCAAACTTTTCATATTGTTATATTGTGGCTTGTGAAGTTCTGTGTTATTCTTCACAGAAAATTCTTTTATTATGACAGACAAAGGATGCAATTATGAAAACATTTTTAATGAAAATAGTCTGTATTATGACATTTTGAATTAATTATCAGTATCAGAATTAAAGACATTTCTCATTAATGAGATCTTTTTGCAAACCTTTCAGGGCCTCTGTGAGGTTGTTTGAAAATAACTTACAGGACAAGCGACTGCTGAGGACAGGTACATTGTTTCTATTGTTAAATGCAGATTAAAGCTCTGTGTTCAACATTGTCTTCAGTGATGGACATAGATCTTGATGCAGTCAATGAGGCCTTGAGCTGAATCCTTTATTCGACACCTTTCATGAACTCAAGGAACTCTGTCAGAGAGAACACACAAAGTCAGTAATAATAATAATAATAATAACAATACTAATAATGATAAAAATAAACTTTTTGAACAAGATTGACAAAGTGTGTGTGGTAAAAATAACAGCAGAATGATTAATTTAAGACTTCAGGCCCATGATGGCATGTGGGGAGTTAAAAGGTCAGAAATGTAGCATGGGGCCAAGATTTGAAGTGACAAGGACAATTTTAAAATTAACTTTAACACGACAGGCAGCCAGTGCAAAGATTCTAGGGTGCACTGTGTTCTCGTTGATTAATTGTAGTTAGGAAAGAGATACTTTACTGCAGGCGAAGAAAAGGGAGATGCAATAATCTAGCTGTGATGATAATAAAAGCATAAATAACTGTTTCAAGCTTTTATGTAGAATGAAATGGTGTATTTTGGAAATGTTCCAGAGTTGAAAAAAGCATGACTGTATGATGAATTTAATGTGACTGTTTTAAGTGAGGCTGCTGTCAAAATAACACACCAAGGTTTTTTTTCACTGTGATGTGGTAAGATAAAAGTGTTGTAAATTACAATATTAGGCCTCATGGGGGGACACCAAAAATGTTGGGAACAATACTGGGCATCACACGGAGGCACCAAAATTGTAGGGAATCTACTAGGCCGGGATACTTTTTTTTTGGAACAAATAACACAGGAACACACAAAATGTTGTGGCAGGCGGGTTTACATGGCGGCACCATTTGTTGGGACTTAAGCCTTAACACAGGCTTGACCTCGTAATAGATCTCCAAATAATAATCCAAGTAATAATTATTCATAATAATCATTAAGTATGTGAAATAATGCGACTTAATTTACATTAAATCACCTCGTGGGGCACCATTCCCAAAAAGGGAAAAATTATAGCCAGTTTAAGATATCAGTCTCATAAAGTTTACTAAACTATCAATTTGGGATTTTGATTTCTGATTAAATTAATGACTATAACCAAAATTACTATATTAACAGTAAAGGCTGAAGGATTTTGGAGTTTATAACGTAGCAGGGGTTGACTATTCATTCACTCCTGTGCAACATTAACAGACAGCAGGTATGATTCCAAAAATATATTTATTCACAAAGAAAGCAAAGCAAACCAAAACACACAAATTCTAAGGAACAAAGAGAGAGAGAGAGAGAGAGAGAGAGAGAGAGAGAGAGAGAGGCAGGTGTTTGAAACAAAGGGCCGTTTGGCCTACAAAACAAAATGGCTGACAATATAGAACTACAAGATGGCCGAATCAAAGCTGGCTTCAGATCAGCGGAGGTGTTGCCTGACCATGTGGTCAGGACAAGGACAATGGAAAAGAAGTGGGACTCTGAGTTGCCTCTTTGGGTGTAGCTCTGTTGAAAGCCTATTTGTAAATGAGTCTATGTGAATGTGATATGCATTGCAAAGGGTCTAGATTATTGCAGAGGATGTTTAGTTGTATGCAAGACTCTGTCTGTGATCAGCATTAGCAAACCAAACACTTAGCTTTGGCGAAGCCAACTAACCAGTAACCTAATTGCAACATCATAACAATGACTCAATAAACAGCATTAATTCACAATTAACAAGTTAAACATTCTTGCTCAGCCAATACAGCTGAGCTAATGCTATGCCCAGTTGCTACGTTACCAATCCTTGAATGGATGGAGGGGTGGTTCTTCTGTGGTTCCAGAAGCAGTCTTTGTTGTGTCCTTATTCCAAAGGTGCAGATCTGAGTAAGCTGGTCGCTCGAGGTCTGTGCAGAGTTAGATGCTGGGGTGCTAACTCAACTTGGTTCTCCTTCTTGCTGGAAAGTTAGTTGGAAACCTTGTATTTGCACACTAATTTCTCTGGTTTCAGGTTTGCCTCTGCTGTGAGCGAGAGCAAATCGTGGTCCAGGAGAAAGAGAGTCTTTGAGCAATTGCTCCCCTTCAGTGGTTTAGGCGAAAGGGCTTCTGAGCTGGTCAGCAGCTCCGCAGGGAAGAGATCTGGGCTGGTCAAGGGCCCAGCAGGAAAGAGCACCTCTGGGCTGGTCAAGGGCCCATGAGGAAAGAGAAGGACTGACAGGGAAGGGAGCAGAACTTCTACAGTTGCCTGGTGACATCACAGATTCAACTGACACGGTAAAAGTACTGTCCAATCAAGTTTTGAGACTTGTCTCTCACTGAGGTGTGAGGTGGAGCATCCTGTGGAGATGGGTGTCAAATAGCTGTCCTCTGTTGAAGAACAAAGAACATGAGATCTCTTACCATTTCAGATGGCAAGAGGAGAAGCCTTCACATGTCCAGTTCAGATTTTAACAAATGACAAATCATCTGTGGTAGAGTGAATCCCAACAAAAGTATGAGAAAAAAAATACTAGGATGTTTATAATTAGAATATTGGAGGAGTCAGTGCCAAATAAAAGTATCCCAGTCTTTTTTTGAGTTTAGCAGAAGGAAATTTTGAGCAATCCATTCATGAATTTATGACAGTTTAAAAGAACAACATGTTGAGGTTAGTGGTGTCATAATTGAGGTAAACCAGGGGGAAAATGGAAACTGATGCGATGCGATTTCATTTCATTTAAACAATTTCCCCTCGGGGATCAATAAAGTATTTCTGATTCTGATTCTGATTAGATGTCACAGTGGCAGTATATAACTCGATCATCACCAGCCACATACGGCCAGCCAAAGCTTTTTGTCCGGCCTGCAGAATATTAATTAATTCAGAAAATGCAAGAATGAAAATATGTTTTTAAGACATCTAGCATTTTTTTTCTTCCTATATTGAAGCAACCCCCAAAAATCCTTCATTAAGTCCAGCCCCATTTTATGCAGACTGGCCAATCTTAGCAGGCCATGTCCGTCAAGGGTTCGACAACAACATGGCTGTTCTACAGATTTCCTTTACTTTTAGGTTGGTTTTGTGGATTTCAAGCAAAAGTTTTTGCCTGTATATTAATGATATTCGTTAATATATATTAATGATACTCGTTACCCAGAGAAGTTGGAGGGAGATAAGTCTTCCCCATTCCAAAACCCAAATCAAACCCTGAAAAGTGTAGGGTTAGCTAGCTAGCTATTGAAGGTATAGCCTACTGAATGTATACACGCTATTTTTGCTTTTTAATTATTATAATGCTGAATGAAAACCTATCCTGCTCTACAGGAACTAGTGAAAGGAAGCAGGGAAACTTTACCACTATTCAACCAGCTGTCTGTCATCGCACTGTGTGCAGCTGAACATTGTTTGACTTCCCATGGCCGGCTGAGGGCAGCATGGGGGGAAGCCAAACGCTGTTCATCAGCACACACTACTACAGCTGGTTGAATATTGGTCAAGTTTTCCTTTATATTCATTGTCTTCTGTCCCACTAGTAACATGGTGGTTCAGTTTACACTGTCATCTGTAGCCTAAAGTTAGGCTTTAGCTTCTACCAACCTTCCTCTTTTAAGCTGTTTTCACTGCTGTGTGAGTTTGACATCCTGGATATATCTTTCAAATGCATATTACAGACCACTTTGTCTGCTTGTCTCTGACATTGTTTTATTGATTTTACAAAAATTTGATAATTTTTCTTCAGGGAGTGCAGTTAGTTAAAGTGTGGGCTCCATGCTAGCTTAAACAGCTCAACAGACCTTCACAAAGGGGCAGGGCTTAGCGAAGAGTCAACTGAGATGGAAATCATTTATTAGGAATATACCAACACCAAATATGTGCATTTAACCTGCAGGTACCTACGAAATATGTTGTAACTCCATCTGTCAGCTTTGTTGTTAGCTGTAGTAATGTTGCAGGTATGGGTAAGCTAAAATATTAAAATATAAAATGTCATAAAGTGACAAAGCAATGTCCTGAGTAAGTTATCCATAATGGTGACGCTTTCTATTAAGACCACATGTTTTAGTCAAAGAATAAGACTTTGCAAAGCCTGGGGTTCATGCAGGGTCACTACTGCAAAATTACTAACTTCAAATAGGAAAAGAAGTGGATAGAATTTGTTGAAGCCCTTAAAATACCCAGTGAGTATGCTACATGCTAGCTAGCTAACCACTGTCCCCAACCCGGACAGGGCTACTTGTTAGCTAACGTCAGCTACTGGAAGGTTTGCTGTTAGCTTACAAGCTATTCAGTTCAGTTCAATTCAGTTTATTTGTCACTTGAAATCATAAAATATGATTGCAGTAAAATGCAGTCATCAGTTCCGTCAATTCGTATATTCAAAATAGTATAGTATAGTAATTACAATTACAATTACAAGTATAGTAATCATAAATAAATGTCTATGGGGTTAGGTTTTGGATTAGGTAGGGTCTTCATTTAGGATCCTTGAGGCTTGAGAGTAGAAGCTCTTCCTGTGCCTCTCAGTGCTGGGCTGGTGTAACCTGTACAGGTATGCCACTTGCTATTTGCAAATCTGAAAAGCCTGTAAAATATCTGTCTATATATCTGTATTTTTCTGCTCAAGAATCATTCTGTAGACTTTTGATTCCACAAGGAAGTGAGCCTGCATCCCTGTGGCTGCCCTGCTAGTGTTACCTGTCTCGGCTGGAACTAAGGGGTACATTGCTTACCAACACTCCAACCATGACACCAAACCTAAAAGTGAGGACTGTCTCGGTCTAGCACAGGTGCATGGTCTTTAAAAGCAACAGCAAGATCACATGCGGTTGCTAACTGGCAAGAAACCAACTTCAAGGGCTTTGTTAAAATTCTGGTCAATTCTAGTAACAAAAGACTGGAAAATATGATTGAAGATGTCTAGGACCTAAAGTTAACAGTTTGTTCAAAGATAAGTTGAAGACCTAAAAGAGAGCTGTAACGAGCTGACTATAAAGTGCAATGGCACACGCGCAGACATTAATACCATGTGTGAATTAGTCTCTTCAATGACTGGGAAAGCAGACTACCTTGAGGGTCGGTCAAAAAGGAATAACATAATTGTAGAAAACTGAGAAAGTGGAAAAAGTCAAGCTTATGAATTTGTAACTCTGCAGGCTCACATATTTGACTGATTTTTGAGA